ACCAAAAAAAAAAAAAAAAAAATCAAGTTTTGAGCCTACAAAGCAAAGACTCAGAGCCTGCAACACAGTAAATTTACCAATGTCAATAAGCTTCCTGAAGGCTCTTGACAGCCAGCTGGCCCTCCTAGGTGACATCATTAGGTTGGCGAGTTGTGTAGTTTAGACCCACAGCATTTCCATCTCCCCTGGTGAGTGGAAACTCACTGGTAGAAGATTCCAGAGCCCTTCTACTTCTAACAGTACTTTGCTTAAGGCCATGGGTTACTTAAAATAGTCTGAAAATTTAAAGTAGTATATTGTAGTCATGGCTCAAATAAACAAATAAACAAATAAATGCTCCTTTGTAAAATGCTGATCTGAAAATGTCTTGCCAGCACAGAGCATGGAGGAGGCATGAGAGGAGAATGGAGATGATAATAGATTTTAGTGAATATGATTGTTTTCAATAGTTAAATTATTGTTTTGTATAAAAATATTCTGGGTGAAAGAAACCCCCCTTTATATCTATTGTACTAAAAGAAGAGTGAGAGTTTTGTTTATTAAAGGAGAAAAACTTACTTCATAACTCATGACAATAATCTTTTTGTACCGGGGATGGAACTCCGGGCTTGCCTTTGCAAGGCAGGCAGTGGAACCACTGAACTAAATCCCCGGTGACAATAATCTTTTTTTATGTTATCACTTCTAAGTGATATTAAAAGAAAGTTTCACTTCAACATTAGGGAGATAACAAGCACTATACACATTTTAAAAACTTGTCAGGAACTCTTTCCTGTTTCCGGCTGCGCGGAGTCAGGTCGTGTGTCTGAGAAATCCCAAAGTTGAAACTTTTCTTCCAGTGCCTGAGGCCACCCCCGGCAGACTTGCAGCTGTCACCATGCCACAAAATGAATATATTGAGTTACACCGTAAACGTTACGGGTATCGTTTCGATTACCATGAGAAAAAGAGAAAGGAGGAAAGTCGAGAGGTTCATGAACGTTCAAAGAAGGCAAAAAAAAATGATTGGCCTAAAGGCTAAGCTCTACCATAAATAGCGCCATGCCGAGAAAATACAAATGAAGAAGACTATCAAGATGCATGAAAAGAGAAACACCAAACCAAAGAATGATGAAAAGACTCCTCAGGGAGCAGTACCTGCCTATCTGCTAGACCGAGAGGGACAGTCTCGGGCAAAAGTACTTTCCAACATGATTAAACAAAAAAGAAAAGAAAAGGCAGGAAAATGGGAAGTCCCTCTCCCCAAAGTTCGTGCACAGGGAGAGACAGAAGTATTGAAAGTTATTCGAACTGGAAAGAGAAAAAAGAAGGCATGGAAGAGGATGGTTACTAAAGTCTGCTTTGTTGGAGATGGCTTTACAAGAAAACCACCAAAATACGAAAGGTTCATTAGGCCAATGGGCTTACGTTTCAAGAAGGCTCATGTAACACATCCTGAACTGAAAGCCACCTTTTGCCTGCCAATACTTGGTGTGAAAAAAAAATCCTTCATCACCACTATATATAACTTTGGGTGTTATTACCAAAGGTACAGTGATTGAAGTGAACATGAGCGAGTTGGGCCTTGTGACACAAGGAGGCAAGGTTATTTGGGGTAAATATGCCCAGGTAACCAACAATCCTGAAAATGATGGATGCATCAATGCAGTCTTACTGGTTTGAGAGATGTTTCATACAATTTCTTACACTTATTGAAGACTACAGACCAATGAGGAAAACCACCATTACTGTGAATACTACCACAGCTTTTGTAACTGCAGTCATCAAGAGAATTATTTATTAAATTGTAAGAACATTAAAAAAAAAAAAAAACTTGTCAGGATAATGCTTTAATAAGCATTATAAGGTTACTTGGCTATAGGACCCAAAAATAAAGTTTATTGAAAGATTTTGGAAATATATTAGATGGACATTTGTTTGATTAAATAATAAAAATTAAAGATCAACTTTGAGAAAATACACCTTTTCTTTTTTAGTTCCCTACTGCCTTTCTCCAGGTTGTGAAGCACAGTGCGGCCTTCAAGAAAAATGACTAAATTGCCCAAATCCACATTTCACAAGAAACTGTACTGTGTATACCAGATTGTTTGTTTGGTTGGTTGGTTTGATTTTTGACAGAGACTCACTCTATAATTCACGCTGGCCTCGAACTCATGGCAATCATCCTGCCTCAGCCTCAGAGTACCAGGAATACAGATATGCATCACCGCACCTGGCATATGATCTTTTTCTATTATGAAACAGTGGGGAAAATTTAAAGCTAATGGATAATTGAGATTTGCAGTGGGATGTAAGTGGAAAAAATATTTAAATTCTCTTCTGCTGTATATTGAAGAAAAATTCTGAGATTATGTATAACCAATATACTGGACCAATGAGAGAGAGAGAGAGAGGCTGGATTCCAGTCCAACCCTGTAGTGGAGCAATTTTAAGTTGAAAAGAGGAAAATAACTATTTTCTTCCTCCATATTGAGAAACTTGCTGAATTTAAAATACTGTGAGGTAGAATAGAATAAAGGGACCATTGTATCCTCGATATTTGGAAAGAGCCAGTCATTTTTCAAGACTTCAGACAGTTGGATCGACCGAGTCATTTTTCAAGCCTGCATAATAGTTTCAGACCTCACTGGAAAATTGGCTTGAATAAATGTGCTAACTGTTTAAAGGAAACCATATCTATTTTTGTTTGGTTTTATTTTGTTGTGTTTTTAACCTTTTGGCTTGTTTCGGTGTGGAGAAGTATTGACTACTAAAGTTTGGGATAAGTATAAATCCTCTAAAGAAATGCCTACCAGAGGTTTCCATAGTATTATAACTTGCTTGGTCAAGTGACCGTGTATCTTAGGATGCTCTTTTTTCATGCAAGAGAAGTACAATTTGTTATGTAGCTTTGACTGGACAATGAAATTTTCCATAGTTGTAAAATGTTCTGTAATTCAATAAAATAAGGAAAAAATATAGGACTATCCATTTTGATTTGAAAGAAACGTTAGTAAGTCAAAGTGTTCAATGTTGAGAAACATTACCCTATTGAACATTACAAACACTGGATGAGTTTCTTGCTGTTTTATTTTGCTTTCTGAAACAGGGTATAATTCAGGCTGGCCTTGAGCTCCCAACAATCCTGCCTCAGCCTCCCAAGTGCTGGCGTTATGTGTGTACTGCCATGCCTGTCTCTGGGTAAGATAGGAGCTTGCAATGGTTCCTTACTTGGCTACATACCTTACATACTGTAACTTTTCATTGCTAAGAGAAAATAACTAAATAGAGTCCTTGTAGCTAAGAGTTATTGAGCACTTGATGGCACTGTTCTAAGCTTCTTCCTTATTTATCATTCTTACATTAGTTGTTGTTCCTCACAACAGTCCTGTGAGATAGAAAGCCAGGTTTGGAGATGTTAAGTAACTTGCCAAATACCAAGAAGTGATTGAGCCAAGATGGGAAAGCAGGCAGCCTGATGTCAGAGCCTGTCCTGTGAAGGATTTCAAATCTGTGAATACTAACGTACTACTCGTGCTAGTATTATTTTGTGAGGTTGTGTGTTTTATTTATTTACTTACTTATCTATATATTTTTAAAACCTCCCCATAGATTTCATCATATATAACTGTGTGGTCTTCATAATTTCCATTCTTAATCCCTTCATCAACATTAGACTGTTCAAAAGCTCAGTCCATGAGCAGAGCAAGGTGGTGCACTCCTGTAATCTCAGCACTCAGGAGGCTGAATCAGGAAGATTGCCATGAGTTCAAGGGAAGCCTGAAATACATAGCAAGACTGTCTTAAAACAAACAAACAAAAAACAATCTACAAAATTTCATTTTTAATTTGCTTTTATTTTAAATACTTGTTTATTTGCTCATTGAAGTTAAGTGGCAAATTAGAAAGCTACTAATTGTATTCTGTACATCAGTGATGGAGAGGGTTGTTTTGGTTGGGTGTGGTTTGGTTTTGGTTTCAATTTTGGTTTGATTGGCTTTTTCTGTTGTGGTTGTCATTTGCTTATTGTGTTATTAGGGATTGAATCCAGAGACCACTGCTGTATCCCCAACCCTTTTGAGGAAGAGTCTTGCTATGTTGCCCACACTGGCTTTGAACTTTCCATTCCCCCAGTTAGCCTCCCCAGTAGATGGGCTTACAGGCATGAGCCACCCTGGCTCATGGCTTCAATGTGTAATTTTTAAAAGGCTAAAAACCAAGGCTCTAATGGTACATATCTAAAAAGTCAAAGAGCTTATGAATAAGAGAGAAAGCAGGATGATAAAGCCAAATCAAAGGGTAATAGAACTGACAGATGCACTTATAGTCACTGGGGAAAAAAATGCTAGAATAAGATTACTAATTTACACAAAAGCAGGATAATGCTCCATATGGCAGTAACACTAAGTGTTGGGCTGTAATTTATTTTACACAACACAAACTATCCTCATCTCAATGGAACAAAGGTTGTTTGCACTGCTATTACACCAGGATTATTAACATCACTATGGGCACAATTTACTGTGTATTCTTACAGCTATCTTTACTAATTATCTCAACGAGATTGCGTATTTTACACAGTGACATTGTTTATTGACTGCTTCCTTCACTAGAATAGAAAAGTAGGGCATTTCCTCTTCTGCATGCTGCTATATTCTCAGTGTGCAGAAAACTGCCTGGCATATACAGAGTACTCCAAAATACGCATGGGATGAATAAATGGTTTAAAAAAAAGGAGGGAGTGGTTCATGAGGCTTTTAAAACACAAATCCTTTCTTTGAAAAATGTAAAGTGGATGAACCTAAAGCAAATTAAAAAGTAAAGCGAGTCAGTTGCCTGACGGACAGCCAAGCTCTGGTATTGGAATCTCCTGTCCCTCTTTTGATGAAGAGATAATAGTATAAGAGGAATCAATGAGACAGGAGCCAAGATTCTATTAGGCAGTAAGGATAACGGCCCTGAAATAGAGCCAGGAAGCCCAGAATGGAGTCTGCTGAGTCACCACCACTCTCCAGGGGCCTTACAGAAACATTTGTCAGCTGTCCCTCCGCTGTCTGAGACCTCGCCAGAGCATGAGCAGACAGGCCATCGGCTCAAGGGTGCATGGGCCCTCTATGGACACGGCATGAACACTGCATACATAGATTGCATCTTAAAAGGTATGTGGTCTCCTATAGGATAGAGATTATATCACTTACACAATGGCAAGAGCTGCCTTCTAAATCCCTTAGAAACCCCTACACAAAGGGGCCTCATGGGTGTCCCACTCAGAATCCCTCCCAGCTAACAAGATCTTTGCTTCCCTCCCTTTATGTCTTTTACTTTCTTGTCTGTGTAGCTTTTGACTGAATTTGCTTGCGCCCTGCCTCCTCTGCCCATGGTTCCATTCTTCATCACTGTGGACCATCTCCTTGACCTTCCTGTAACATAATTTGGGGCTCAGCGGGGATTCCAAGGGAAGGTAAGTGAAGACGTCTTTTCCCTATGCTCCTTCCTTTGACGCTGCAGCGTTCTGCTCAGCACAGTACCAGGACCCCACTGGCTAATTGAAGGTGGTTAGCACAGTTGCTGATCTTGGCATCTCAGGGGATGGGTTTCACTGATACGGGCTGAACTGATCCCCCTCTAACATGGGGGGAGGGAACTTCGGTCCAGTCTTGCCTCATTTTCCTTCCCAATTTGATCCTTCTGCTGGCAAGGAAGTGATCTCAGACCTTAGTGCGCTTTGTCTCTGTGGCTGACAGTCCTCAGACATATTGCTCCACAGGCATTAGAGGGAACAGAGCACCTTTATCTATCATGACTCCTGTCCTTGGCAAGCTAAGCCAAAAGGAAAGAAAGAGTGTATATCTTGTTGTTTCATCTTAATTGTCTAGTTGTACTCTTGTGGGCCTGGGTCAGATAGATAAAATCCATTAGGGCTTTGGTCTTTTCAAAAAACTCCCATAAAAGGACAACTCAATCATGGGACACGCAACTCCCCGCATCAGCTAGGTTTGTGTTTTATGTTTGTGCAACGAAATGATAAAATGTCTTTGTCATACAATATTTTCCTGAACTCTGAAGGTTTTGCCCTGGTTGCTTGTGAGTTCTGGAGGCCTTGCCTTTGTCTCCCTTCTGGGCCACATTCTTCCTGTCAAACTCTTCTTCCAACACCCTCACCTGTCAGATTGCCCTCCTAGCTTCCAAAATGGCAGGTAAAGGGGTTCTTTTAAACAAAGACTCTGGCTTTCATTTCTGATGTCAATGGAAAAAATAGCTCTTGAGTGGTATGCAGCCTGCACTGGGTCCTGACAGAAAGCAAAGTTGGGGTCAGCTCCTCTCTAGGGATGCCAGGCTAGGGAACAACCCTTCCTGGCAAACTCCAAGAATTTAATAAGAGCCCCCTGGGACAAACCTCAGCTGATAAATTAACTTTTAGATTCCAATTTAAGTTGGTGGGGTTTTTTTTCTCCCTAACTGACATGCTTAAAACATTTCTTGTGCATTGGGATAATTCTTAAACTATAATTATGGGATTAACTTGCTCTTCTGCTCCCTTCTGCTTGGGCTTAGATAAGGATGCTATTCAAGGCAGCTTAGAGATCTGTTGGTCAGCCGGTCCTCATTACAATGCAAAGATCTATAAACCCACTTTGGAGCAAGAGGAAAGAAATGTACTAGGGATGTTATAAAACAAGCCACTAGGCTTGTTGCAGAAAGAAACCAGTAAGATGGAAAAAATACATTAAAAAGTTATAAAGATATAGTTTTGGTAGGGGAAGATTTTATATGATAAGATTTTGCCCTACCATGATAAAAAAAAAAAAAAGAAAAGCGGAAAAACTAGGAGGTCCAAGTATATCAAGAAAGGTTTTTAGAGGATAAAGTTTATTTTTAAAATATGTGTTTGGTTGTTTTAAGTTTTTGCTCTTAGATGGCTAAACAGCTATTACAATGACTCTCAGATCTTAATCACCCCTCCCCAGATCCCAGCTCCCCTCTCTCATCTGATGGTCAGCAGTGGTCCTCCTTTATTGTCTCCTGTGTTGGAGATGCAAAGACAAGGGACACCACAGCTGAGTAAAATTTCCTGTCCTCTTAGGTGGGAACAATGTAAGGGGCACATGCTAGCAACAGCCCAATATACAGGTGACCACCTCAATCTGGTTGAAAACTCTGGTTTGAGTTCATGTTTGATGGTAAATCCAGCCCTAAAAACAATGCTTAAATAACTGCATTCCTGGCTTTATGTCTGCCAGGACCCTGTCCCACTTTAGCCTTGATTGCCCTTCGGCACATAAGAGAGTTTAACAACTAACCTTCAGTTTCACTTACAGAGAGGGTATTTCACTTCTTTTGGGTAAAGGACGTCCAACTTCTGACCACAAGCAAAGGGCTTCATGGACACAAGGGAAGTCGAAGGGCATTTTGCTGATCGAACTGACTAATCTGATACCCTCCATCTCGATCCTAGTCTGTAATCACTTGCAACTAGGGCCTCACAGGTAGCCAACAGACACTTTGGCCAGGGACTACTTCAACAGAGAAAACAAGAAATCCCCTCTCTCCCTTTGACGTTTTTTTAAAAAATAGAAAGCTTGGTCTCAGGTCTTAAAATACACCTTCAGAAACTGGGACTCCTTTGAATCCCAGACCCCAAAAATGTGCCATCTGACCTTTTGCACCCACTCCTGGCATTGCTACCGAGAGACAAAATTAGAAGAGGGCCTCAGCCTCAGTTCTCCAATTAGAAAAATACTCCCTTAAGACAAAACTATCTCAGGTCTGCCGATGCCCTATCGAGGTCGCGAGTCACATGGAACACGCTGAATCAGCCCACTGCAGACAGGCAGGTCTGCGGACGCCATAGCAATGTCGTGAGTTGCACGGAACATGCCGAATCAGCCTGCGCCCCAGCAGCAATCCACTGGACACCCCCCACCCCCACTCCTCTGGCCTCTTCTCTGTACAGCCACCTGGTTCCACACTACAAAGACGCACAGAACACCGGACCACCAGACCACTGTACTGGGTAAATTGGAGTCATCTTCACCTCCCATCAGGACCAGGACTATCTTCAGGGGAAGGGCAGCTGGAACCTGCAATACAACTCTGCAGAGTTCAACCCTACAGGAGGACAGGGAGCTCAACTTGGGACTTGCAGTCAGAAATCTCCCAGAATCTCACGGGTC